TTTGGGTTTTTGTTCACACCCCCCCAAATTTTTTTTTTCTTCATTGTTGTAAATTCCCCCCCCCCCCCCCCCCCCCCCCAATTCTTCAGAATATCTTGTTTTGTGTACAACAAAAGACAGAAACTCATAACAGTTTACAAGCATTGTGAGTAAATAATGAGGAAAGCTCATTTTTGGCTGTCCTGTCCCTTTAAGAACCCTTATAAGGCTACAGGGCATTAGATTTTCCTAAAAACGCCACTGACATTCGTGCTGTGCTCTCCGTAGAGTCAATATGATGCAGAAAACAGTCCGTTTCAGATTCAAACAAGGAAATAAAGCATAGACATACACCAGACTTACATTATTCTGTTAGCTTTAGATAGCCTACTACAATAATAGATTTTGGCAGGTGATAGGAAAGACTACGAGAAGAATTCTTAAAAATGACCAAACACCAAATGACAGGATGATAATTAAAAAGAAAGTTGCATAAAAAAAATCTAATCCTCTCAACGCAAGAACAGTGGTATTGACATCATGGCAAATGTTGGACGGTATGGTGAAATACACTTGGGGTAAAGTTGGCTTTATATTGGCACATTCAGTCTTTTACCTTCTTAATATGATTTCAGAATAGTATTCTTTGCTAATTCTAAATAGGAAATCATATTAGCAGTCAACGACTATCAAAGTACAACATTGTTCGCGGTCAATTAAATCGTGCATACCTAGATAGGACTTCAGACCAAATATTTAACGGATGTTAAACAATAAAGTCTAAAAGTGCGACTATAAAGCCAACTTTACCTCAATTAAAATACCCAGTAGAAATCAAGCAGATTCTGGAACAACACACGGATGAAAACAATAAGGTTGTGGTTTCAAAATGAGACTAACGCAAACATTGAATTGTAAATAGTTTGCTATTATATACATTTGAATGCAACTATAATCGTATACCTCTTTTTAAGGTAGACTCCCCCCCCCCACCCCCAACTCATGCATGTTGGCATCTCATTCACCAATGCAAACGAAAACAGCATACTGCTAAATACCATGATTCTCCAAAAACGTAAGACAGTGCAAACTTCTCAAAATAAAAGTACAAACAGTCATATAATTCTATACGTTTCAGCACCATTGTTAGTCTATTCATTACTGAATACACATGTAAGAAAGATCACAAAGTGGTGGACGCAATTCCTATGAATGTGTGTTTGCTGACTATCGAGGAAGAGCGCGCTTTTATGAGTCGACGTACACTTTAGTTTTGAGTGCATGTGTGCTTGGTCTGTCCCAACAGGGACGTTGACCCAGCAGACTCTGACAGACTGACGTCCGAGGACGACAAAGATGTAAATCACAATCATATGATCAATATGAGAGGCGTGGTGAAATGCAAATAAGGAACGGATGCTTGGAGAAATGGTTGAATGGTCGTTCTTTGTCTCTGTGGTCACAGTGATTTCTCACGTAAGTGCTGTATGGGGGACAGTTGAGCAGTGTTTTGCTACGCTGACATCTACACATCAGTGGACAACCACATGAAGGGCCGACGGTGCAATCTCACAAAACTATTTCAAGGGACACTGCAGCTCTAAAATCAGTGTATTCTGCACAATGCAGTCATACCATACATATATATTTGGCAGCTTTTGAATTCAGATTGAGATTCTTGTCATGTTTTATGAGATTTCCACATTAATAATCCTTCATGAAGCAGGAAAAAAAAAAGAGTCACAACTTTAACTATCCTGCACATTCAGCATGCACTTCTATCTAAAGCCTATGCCAAACACTCCTCGTTGATCATGTGACCTGTAAAGTCATTGCACACTGCCCTGATATACACCTATTATCTAGATCAGATGTTGACAGAGCTAATCTTTAGCTTCACGTTACTTTCAGTGTTGTGTTGTTGGCATACTATCAGTACCATCCACGATGGACCTCAGTTTAACGCAAGGCTCTGTTTCGAAATCTAGTGAGCTAGATGACTGGGGAAGCTCTCTAGTAAGACTCTAGGTGTGTCCAAACTTGGTTCAGGAGGGCCGGTGTCCTGCAGATTTTAGCTCCAACTTGCATCAACACACTTGCAAGGATGTTTCTAGAAAGCCTAGTATGAGCTTGATTAGCTAGCCCAGATGTGTCTGATTGTAGTTGGAACTAAACTTTGCAGGACACCGGCCCTCAAGGACCAAGTTTGGACATGCCTGCTCTAGTAGGCATAAATCCAGTATACTTGAATACTGGGTGAAAACATTTATTTCCTCAGAGCTGTCAGCTTAACCAGCTGATGTCCAGGCGTTTTTTCTTTTGCATATTCTAAAACTTACAACGCAAATCTTTAAGAAATGTCAGCATCCACATGGACACAGGAAAAACTGCGTGAGTTAAGTCATACTGCACTTTTCTCCCCAGAGACTTCCATTCATACGCACGCGAATGCGTCAGACCGAAAAAGCAAGGTCGTGCGGCAGTTTTCGTAGTTCGATGCATTGGAAAGTTTAAGCTTGGTAAACTTTGGCCTGCGAAATCGCATCACTTGACTGCGTGAGACCAATCGAGGATCAAAACATGACCTCTCTAGTCAGAACTTTCAAACACTGACCAATCACTCGCTTTTTTAAATGTCTAATCATCGTGTTTAATCCCGCCCCTTTTCGCAGCGCCATACAACAGAATTTCGCAAGCTCAAACTCTAGTGTGACCGCAGCTTTAATATGGTGTAATATGTATGCCAAACCTACATGTGGTGCTGTAAACCAACATGGACAGATCCGCAGGATACACGACAGTCGCAAAAGAATGCAGCGAGCATGTGAACACAGCTCTGTTACAAACACAGCTCAGTAATCCACCATTATCGTTTTTACGGTTGTTACATCCGAGGATCTTCCATCTTTACGTGGTACAATGGTGTCATCATTTCCAAAAAGTTGATGATTACCATACCTGCCAACATTTGTCTCTGGGGTTGTTGGGCAGAGTGGTAGGGATGTTTAGGTTTCTGCAGGATACTATTGGACAACCGCTGCAAACGGATATTATACCAAAGTCAGCAATCCAGGGGTGTTATAGATTATACTAAAAAGCTGAGGACCGGTTGGGGGGTGAGTTGTTGTGTGAGAGTGAGAGAGAGAGAGGGGGGGGGGGGGGTGAAACTAAGGGAGTTTTTTGGGAGAATAACAAAACGGGAGATGGGCTGAAATACTAGAGACTGGTGGCAAGGTAGGTATGATGATTACATGACTATGAAAGGAGTGGTGTTTTAGGATTTTTCCACTCTGTTCCCTGCTGAAAAATCCAGCTTAAACCAGCCTAGGCTGGTTGGCTGGTTTTTGCTGATTGACCAGCCAAATTTTAGAGGGGTTTTGGCCATTTCCAGCCTGTTCTTAGCTGGTCTGGCTGGAAAATGACCAGCTAAATCCAGCTTAAACCAGCTTGACCAGCCTGGTTTAAGCTGGATATAGCTGGTTTTGGCTGGACTCCTAGCTTGGCTAGGCTGGTCAAGCTGGTTTTAGCTGGTCATCTCCCAGCCTGACCAGCTAAGACCAGGCTGGAAATGGCTGGAAACCAGACTGGAAATGGCCAAAACCCCTCTAAAACCAGCCTGGTCAACCAGCTAAAACCAGCCAACCAGCCTAGGCTGGTTTAAGCTGGATTTTTCTGTAGGGTTATGTCATAAAATATTTTTTTAGTGTATAGATGCTAATGTGTGGACGAATGACCCAAATAAAATAACAGACCCTTGTTGGTCTGTTAACGAGACCATTCCCAGTCTAACTCACTAGGTTTTGGAACAGACAACATTAAAAAGCAACTAAATGTCTGAATGACTTTTGAAAGTTAGCACCTTTATATTCAAGATCAGGCATCAACGTCTCCTCTGAAACGACCTCTTTACAAGTATATCCCTTCTAGATTTGTCTTCATCTGGAAACTCTCACGCATTTTTATTCAAGTTCTTGCTCCCACGTTTATCCACATACTTCTCATTCTTGTTGTTTTCAAGTCAACTTTCCATTTTACTAGCTACAAATATATAGTAATGCTCCAATAAAGCATTCGGTTACTGGCTCTTTCTTTTCGCATTTTGTGAAAAATAAACCAAATCATGTTATTGAACAGCGCCAATTCAAGTGTCGTACATTTAGAGCAGGGGTCACCAAACTCGTTCCTGGAGGTCCGGTGCCCTGCAGGGTTTAGCTCCAACCTGCCTCAACACACTGCCGGGGTGTTTCAAGTATACCTAGTAAGACCTTGATTAGCTTGTTTAGGTGTGTTTGGTTAGGGTTGGAGCTAAAATCTGCAAGACACCGGCCCTCCAGGAACAAGTTTGGTGACCACTGATTTAGAGGGATGTTGTTTGTAACACTGCAGCGTTTACATGTGTTCTTTTCAGCTATGTTCCCAGACTGGGAAACTGAATTAGGTGTTTCAAACACACACAGGAGGTGCATGAGTATTTGGGTAACTACATGGGTGATCTTTAACGGAGTAATTGTGCTTGGTGGTGAGCTGTTAGATAAGATTAGGAAGAGGATAACGATCAGCGGTACTCAATCCTGCTTCTGGTGGGACAGTGTCCTGCAGATTTGATCTCCAGCCAACACCAACACACCATTGTCTACAAGTTTGTGGTAAGTCCTAAGACCTTGATCAGCTGGTACAGGTGTGAAATTAAGGCAGGAGCAAAGCTGTGCAGGACAGTGGCCCTTTATGAGCAGGTTTGGGAACCCCTAAAACAGATAAATGGGCTTGTGCTTAAGGACAAGCTTGATTAACAGAAAACTGAATAAGATAATTGACAAAAAAACAAACGATAAATGCAAGAGGAGGACTTTAAAAGACAGCTGAGAAGATAGGGGTTTCATTGGGAAATGTGTAATAATGCCCTCCATGTAAACTTTGACGCCTCAGTGGCAGATGTTGCGCTGGCACGGCTGGTGCAGGAAGGAGTTGCGGGTGTGGGTTGCGCGCCGCTGAACCTGCTCACGCACGCGGTTTTGGCGCTGCATGCGATTGCGTCCCAGGTGGCGACGCTCAGTGCGGGCTTTGGCCCTCTGGACCCTGGAGACCTGGGTGACTTTAGCTAGGGCACCGGCCTGTGCGGCTGCTCCCCTGGTCACCCGTGTGGGTAAACTGCTCCTGGTCACAGCGGGCAATGCTGATTCAGACATCCTGCTGGAACAGGGCAGATATGAGAGGGAAATGAGTGAGAAACAAATGGAAAGAACGAGGTGATAATGAAAGATTGGAAAACAGATGTAACATGCTGGACTTGATGTAACTTAATTAAAATTACATTAAGCATTTTGTCTATGCCACAGGTTTCCAGTGCTGCTCCTGGAGAGCCAAAGAGTTTCATTTCAGTACTCCTGAGGAGTTAAACAGGGGATGGGCACTCTCGGTACTAGAGGGCCGGTGTCCTGCAGAATCTAGCTCCAACACTAATCAAACAAACCTACCTGTAGCTTTCTAACTCTAATTAGCTTGTTCAGGTGTGTTTGATTAGTGTTGGAGTAAAGCTTTGCATGACACCGGCCCTTCAGGACAGAGTTTGCCCAAACTCTGCAGGACAGTGGTTCTCCGGGAGCAGAACTGCATGCCTTTGGTATAAATGGTAAACTTTCAGATGATATTACACATCGACAGATTAACTGTATGCACAGCCAATCAAATCTAATTTAGTATTTAGGCATTTAGGCATAATTTGGCATTTTTAGGAGCCACCCTGCTGAAAATTCCAGCTTCAACCAGCCTAGGCTGGTTGGCTGGTTTTAGCTGGTCGAACAGCCTGGTTTTAGAGGGGTTTTGGCCACTTCCAGGCTGGTTTCCAGCCATTCCAGCCTGATCTTAGCTGGTCAGGCTAGACAATGACCAGCTAAAACCAGCTTGACCAGCCTAGCCAAGCTGGGGGTCCAGCCAAAACCAGCTATATCCAGCTTAAACCAGGCTGGTCAAGCTGGTTTTAGCTGGATTTGGCTGGTAATTTTCCAGCCTGACCAGCTAAGACCAGGCTGAAAATGACTGGAAACCAGCCTGGAAATGGCCAAAACCCCTCTAAAACCAGGCTGTCCGACCAGCTAAAACCAGCCAACAAGCCTAGCCTGGTTTAAGCTGGATTTTTCAGCTGGGCAGTATATCAAAATTGCTAAAAACCACCCACCAGGTGATTATAATATGCAAATTTCTAATGAAATGTATTTACTAGGCCATGAACGGCTAAGTCTGGCCCCTTGAGATTCACCTCCCTGCAGAGCTTTTCTTTAACCCTGTACTTTGTGTAGCTTTTTAAGTAATTCTGCAGACCTTGAGTAGCTTCTTTAGGAGAGTCTGATTAGGCTGAAGCTAAACTCTGCAGGAAAGCAGACCTCAACTGCTGGAGTTGAGAAACAAACCAAATACCAGTGTCTTTACCAATCCCAATCACCATATATATTCTGCTTTTCGTTTTGCCGTTTCCACCTAGTGTTAAGTTGCATTTTGAGTTTAGAGTACATTTTAAAATCGTATAATTTATTTTAAAATCTCGCCATTGTGAAGCACCAACTGCTGCGTCATTATACCCCCACAAGAAGATCTTGTGACCAAAAGATCAGAAAAGATTGTGGCTGTTTTTTTTTATCTTGTTATAAATAAAGCAAACTTGAAACTTGAACTTGCATTTTCACTGATCCAGTCACAAGTTGTCATCTGAGACAAATTACCATGCTTTCAAATGTGACCTCCGTGACGACTTGTGTTTGGATTTGGTCAAGATTCTTTCCCCATTTTGACATGCTCTACATCAGTTTGGCGAGACTGCTCAGTGTGACACATGAATGACTGAAGCCATTGTGACTGTTTGAATTCTTGTGACCACATGAGCATTACCACTTTTAAACGGCATTTTTTCATGCTTTCTACTACATCTGGAAGCGGACAATATCAGAACTTTTCAGTCCTCATTTAGACCTGTGTTTAGCATTGTCTACTTCTGATCATTCATTCATCCATTCATTTTCTTGTCGGCTTAGTCCCTTTATTAATCCGCCAACTTATCCAGCAAGTTTTTACGCAGGGGATGCCCTTCCAGCCGCAACCCATCTCTGGGAAACATCCACACACACATTCACACACTACGGACAATTTAGCCTACCCAATTCACCTGTAAATGAATGATAATCTCCCGGAAATCGTGCGTCTCCTGCCCGGTCCTTAAATATGTTGCACACCCCTCTCTCCACTGCATCCCTACTAGCTCTTCAGGTACATCGGGCGCAACTCACCCCCACCGCTCTTCAAGTACGTCTCGCGCGCATACGCCCCCCTTTACAGATATGTCGCTCACTACCCCCATAGCAAAATTTCTCTGGCCCAAATCTGGCCCACACCATCAGCCTTTGCTTGGCCCACATGCTGCAGTGAATTACATGACTGGACCAAATCTGGCTTTCAGACAAGAGGCAAACATGGACCATATCTGGGCCAAGTCTCAGCCAAGTTAATAACCCATAACTGGGCCTGAACTGGGCCAGATATGTTGGTGTTTCACGACTGTGATGTTTTTTATAAACCATGAAGCATTTCGCTTTACGGTTGTGCTTTTTCTTGAAGCGACCCGATTGATAGAATTTTTTCTTTACTCAAAAATAATGTAAATGTATTTTAAAAGTGGGTCAAGATAGACCAAACTTACGTGGCCCACATATACATTTTAACATCTGGGCCAAATACTACATTTGATATCTGGCCCAAGTCATGAGTGCTGCCTGTAAGACGGTGCCGCCTCGGCCAAACCTGGGCCATGTTTGGCCCATGTGCTGTATGCCAGTGACGGACGAATGCCTGCTGTGCCAGCTTTATGTCAAATCTGGGCCAGAATTCTTTGCTATTGGGGTACTCAACCCGCCCGCCCCCTGTCCCAACGTCACCCCCCACCCCGTTCTTCGAGCATCCACTAATCTGCTACCTTCTGCAAATCAACTCTGTATCCCCTGAAAATGACTTTTTCCAACTTGGGATGTCTGGGATAGTGTTGGGGTTAGGTGCTCCAAAATATTGCTGAAAATGTGTTTATGAGGATTCATGAGATACGAAAGTCAACTACAATACGTCACGCCAACTGAAATACAATAGGTTTAAAATCTTGAGGAAAGTCCTACTGAAATACTTTAGGTTAAAATCATCTTGAGGAACACAAAAAATGCCTATTGAAATACTATAGGTTAAACGATGTGTTTTGGAACGTGGAAAAATGGGTGAAATTTCTGTCAGGGAACACGAATAGATACATCAAATTTCGGGACTATATAATCTGCTGTGATACTGGGTTGAATGGTGAAGGTAAGTTTTACCTGATGCTGCCAGCCAGACTGGTGGCGCTCTCCTCCATGGCAGGGAGAGGGCCGGGCGAGACGTACACGGACATGCTGGGGTGCTCGATGAGGAGGTCCTCCATGGGACTAGCCTCCGCCGTGGCTCCCTCTGCAGTAAAACAGGGTGGAGGGGTGACAAACCAGCTCTCATCCATGCTGCAGTCACTACAGGAGCACGAGCCCCGCTCGCTTAACAACACATTCACTTCTACTGACTCAAGGTGGGAGAAGGAGGCGGGATCAGGAGCGGAGCAGGCGGACAGAGGAGGTGTGGCCTGCGTCCTGCCTGCTCTACTCCTGCGGTTTTTGCAGGTAGGAGGAGAAGCGTGACATTCAGAGCGGGGACGGGCGCAGGCTACTGATGCTGCCTCTGGCCCGTCCTCGCCTTCAGTCAAGTGGGAAGAGATAGAGGACAGAATAGAGTGTGTTTCCAGAGGATGAAAGTTTGGTTGAAGCCATGCGTTGGGTATCATGAGCACACATACCAGTAAAAAGGAATCATTCAAATATGGAGAAATGAGAAGGGATACAGAAACAACAGAGAAACATAGAAGACAGGAATACTGCCATTAGTTTCTTATAACCCTTTTAAACATTCTCTAATAACCATGTATTAGAAGTCTGTCTATTTGTCTGTCTATCTATCTATCTATCTATCTATCTGTCTGTCTATCTATCTATCTATCTATCTATCTATCTATCTATCTATCTATCTATCTATCTATCTGTCTGTCTGTCTGTCTGTCTATCTGTCTGTCTATCTGTCTGTCTATCTGTCTGTCTATCTATCTATCTATCTATCTATCTATCTATCTATCTATCTATCTATCTATCTATCTATCTGTCTGTCTGTCTGTCTGTCTGTCTGTCTGTCTGTCTGTCTGTCTGTCTGTCTGTCTGTCTGTCTGTCTGTCTGTCTGTCTGTCTGTCTGTCTGTCTGTCTGTCTATCTATCTATTTATCTATCTATCTCTTCCATCTATCTGTCGATCTGGTCTATCTATCTATTGGTCTATCTGTCTATTTATCCATCTATCCATCCATCTATCTATCTATCTACATCCATTTGCATTAATCATTTGTTTTAATTGTTTTAAATTAAACACAATTTTAAATTAATCAAAATGTCAATTTGCTTAATTAAAACAGACAGATGTACAAGACATTAAGTAAATAAAAACTCCAGGTTTGTACAGCCCACTTGGAGCTCAAGTCCCACCCACTTGGAGCTGGCTCCGACCTTCGTTTATACCCTTCTCAACTAAACTCAAACTTCACTGGCTGGCCATCTAATTTGGCATTATGGTACAAGCCCAAGGTTTCATCATGGTAGT